TACGACGGATAACATACGCTAGAATTTTTTTTAGCGTGTAGATCGCCCATTTGTACTTAACAAGAAAAAATTCATAAAATTCAATCTAAATAGATCCAGACGGTTTAAAGTTTTCGGAATATAAACAACTTGATCGACATTCTAAACATTAGCAGGATTCGAATAAAAATAAAATTTAGTTTTATAATTTGGTAAAATAATCATGCTGCACATCGGAAATTGACTATCTTCTGAATATTTCACGCTGCTTGGATCTATTTTGGTTAAATTTTAAAAAATGTTTTTTGTTTAGTGCAAATGGACTATTGATTCAAGTCAAAATTGGTATTTGACGAAAATTCAAACTTTCAAACTCCTTTCTAGGAGTTATTTAAAAAACAACCGATGCCATGCTGTTTTGAAACAAATGAAAGTCCCACTAACTATACGTTTTTAATAAGTAATATCACAGCTTTTATACAGTAGTCGTTAGAATGCAAGGATGGAAGACAATAAAGAATAGAACTTAATATATGACGTAATACTTATGAAGTCTGTAATGAACTGAAGTAGCCTCGCGAATTTTGTAGAAAGTATTAACATTTTGTTTTTATCGACATCAACGATAATAACAAGTCATTAATATTCAAACATAGTTAGCCCACGATGTTTTGATATGTGCCGTATATGGTCGCGTGAATGTTGAAGTTAAGGTTCTTCCGTTTTGTTGTTCAACTTGTTTTAATGATAATGCATCATTGAATGATGAAGATTTTGTTGTGGTTGTTCTTACTGAACTTTTATCATTTGTGTTTGTTAGTGTTGATCGTTCACTTCTCTCATCTGTTGTAGCTAGACGAGATAAATAATTCAATTGCAGCGACTCAAAGGTAGTATCAACAATGGACAATTTTCGAGAAGGTCTCATAACATCAAGATAGTCCTCACGAATATTTTGTTCGACTTGCTTTGCGCGACTAAGAAGTTCATGACATGGTAAAACTGAATTTAGATGATTGCTCTGTGTATTATGCATTAAATGTATCGTTTTCATTTGATATTTTTGCGTATTTCCTAACATTTTCATAATAATATTTCTACGTTTTGTAATTATTGACATTTGTTTTCGATGATGTTGAAAGGCGATGCTTCGTGCGTCAGAGCCAGACACTTCACGACGATCAATAATTTTCACACGATGCGGTACACTGTCCATCTTTGGAAATTTTTCATGCAATTGTTCAGCAGCTTTTTTTGCGTACAATGTTATTTCGTCACGCGCTTTACTCTGATTTTTGATAAGACGATCTGCACGTCTTTCATAAAATAAATCACCGTGTTCATCGAATACATGCGTAACAACTGTTGCAGATTTTCTTCCTGATGAATACGCGATGACATCTGATTTTGATGGTTTATCATTAACAAATTCAATTTTAATATCACGGGATGGATCTAATGCCATGAAATTTGTGACCAAATCTTCAAAAGCAAATGCACGACTTTTTCTCAAAATTTGTGCTTGTTCAATGTCTTTAAAATGTTTATCAATACGAGAATAGTAGTCGTTGAGAAACAATTCAAATTTTTTTCCATCACCCAAAACTCCTAAATAGTCTGATTCAAATTGTTCTCTATCTTTTTCCGAGTTTAACAAGCCAGCAGCTGCGAGTGATCGCTGTAATTGAACAAATTGATACGGTTGAGATTTTCGATGATGAGATGTACTGGTAAGCGGACGCTTTTGTGTCGAATATAAATTTATACGACGACGATAATCTTCGGCAGCATTCTCAGCGGATATTGGAAGATGTGGTGCTGATTTGCCACGATCACGTTTACTTAAACGAGAAGTAGTGTCATCTGATGTCTCATGTTTACTGGTTAATGTCGCAAGAGTGAAATCAGACCATGGTCGTTGTTCTCCGTTGTGAAAAGCAATATTATCAATCAGCTCAAGATTTCTTTCTTTTTCTTCATCTTCTTCATTCAGCACGTCAGGAATAGAAATACCATCGTTGTTATCGTCATCATGATCAGATTGTTGGTCCTACAGCGATACGACATCATTCTACAAAATTTTCGTGTATTTATCTAACAGCGGTTAAAATCGATTCATTTTTAATCAATTAACACCACATCTGTTAGAGAATCTTGCACTACAACAGTCTATCTTAAAAATTTTTAAGAGTCCATCTTTGGCTATTCAGTAAGTCTGATTTTGTTAAATTAAAGAAAAAAATTGAACACTTTTCTAAGTAATTAATTTTTTTCCCGCCTAGATAATGTCAGTAGGCTGAAAAATTTCATGACATACACTTCGATGTATCCACTACTACCTGGAAAAATTTGAGGAAAAATTCAAAACCTGAATGTTTTGTTAGTTCTTGACCAAGAGCAGATTTTTTTATTTGCACCTTAGAATCGAACCGAACAACTTAATTTAAAATTTAAAAAAAAATTTTTGAAAACAGCTTTAATGAACGAGCTGGAATTCGATTTCGAACAACTTTTGTACTACGAGTTTCGCTCCAAAATGCTATAAGGCTTTTTTCAAAATACTTTAGGTATTAATTTCTCCATCGGTAAGGTAAGAGCTAAATTTCTGCTCAAATTACATTCGCAAACGATGACAACTTTTTGACAACCTTTTCCTGTGTACAATTTAATGTTGAATTACGTTAGAATCAACTCTTCATAGCAAAAACTTAAGTTTTTATTGAAATTTTAAAAACAGGGTAAAAACTTTTTTATCAAAAACTATAAAAAGTATCAAAACCGAAATAGTTTTCGGACAAATACTCCGACGTATACTGTAAAAACTGATGAAAGCAATTGAATGGGAGAGTTCTTTATTGGTCCAAAAATAGTTGTTGTTTACTCAAGATTTTAGAATGCGTTTGATAGTAAAGAATATTTTCTACCAGTGCTTTTTCATCACTCAAGAATTCCTTGGTCACATCACAGGCAGACTACTTTTTATATATTTTCTATGAAATCTTCATGTAAAAAGTAATTGCATGATCCATTGAAATTATCCGATAACCTATTTATATTTTGTCTGTGATATAGTGATATACATAGAGGATCGATCAAATGATAGTTTTTAAATCAATAAAGATATTTCTAATGTTGAGACTATTAAAAGATTGTTTAGAACAGAATACTTTGATTTGCTCTCTTATTATTTTTAAAGTCGAACAATTATGTTCTCTCTGTTTGTTCATGGTTACTGTTTCATATATACTCACATCTGATTCCATGATGTTGATTGTTTCATTTGACACCAAAAATGTTCTTTTTCTGTTTCTCCCTTTTCCTTCTTTTCTATACAATGCATACCTTCTCTCTATTTAAATAGAGCCTTTATGAGGCTTCTTTTTTTCAATTGTTGAATTAAACAAAAAAAAAATTAAATGCAGCCGAAAGAAAAGAAACAAGAAAGCTGTTGTTAACAGACAAAAAAAAATTGTCTTTAAATATTCGTTATAAAACGATTTAATTTTTTTCTTTCTATTACCGTGGGTTCATTCAATGATCGATATATACGGATGTTAGATATACCGACTCTAGGATACAACAACTCTATAACAGACTTTCAATACTGAATCGGAAAACAGGTAGGGTGAAGAGCGAGGGTGAATGCGTAAATGTTTGTGAGTGGATATCTACAATATTTCAATCGGTTCCAAGACTTGCTGTGAAAAGTACGTTTTAGCGAAAACATTTGATTTGTAAGGCATTAGAGCTGTTTTTCATTCGACGTGTCTTTTGTCATCGCGTGGCCAAACGTCATTGCGCCCTAATGTCGATGCGTCCTAGCGTCTGATAATCCAGATGTGAATATGTCCATAAAAACTATTTCACTTCACATGCAGTTAAAGAGACGTCTTTTATGCTCACAAACCATTATAAGATGTTTAGCACCTGTCTATTTCAAAATAAAATGTTATCGTTTATTTTTTGAACATTTCAAGAACGAAAAGAGTTGGGAGTTTCAGTTTTCATTATTTTACACAGAAAATTTTGCCCTGTCTTCTTCTCTTCTATTTAGTATTAGAAATCTTGTTTGATTTATCTGACAGTTAAGAAAATAGAAACATGCTGTCAAGTACCGAAACTAGAATAGATTTAAATTCTAAATGCTAACCGCACTCTACTATGAGAAATAGCCAAAAGACACGTAACAGATCGAGAAACAATTCGATAAAAAGACATGAACGATTGATGCACCTATCTTTTTCAAAAAATAACCATTACTTCTTCGGAAACAAGCTTTTTTGCATTAAGCATCTGATCCTTCGAGATTTTTAGTTTGTTTGCTCTTATGTTCATTACTAGCCGCAACGGATTTTATATCCATTCCTCTTCTGTGATTTAGAGTTCATGCCCAAAAGCTCTTGCTGTTCTGAAAAAAATATCAGCTGGAATTAAATCGGTGATTTCTCCTTGGAATATGCACAAAAACTTGACTTTTTATACATCAGTCGATCGAACTCGATGAAATGGAGCTGATCAAGTGTAAGTCAAAGCGTTATCAAGTAGAAATTGGCGTTTATAGACTAAAAATGCTTGACAGTATGAAATTGTAGTGTGTAATGGATGAGAAATGGGCCGAACCCATGGGCTAGCATATCACTAGATAGAAGACGTTGAAATCTATTTTAAATTTTTTTAAAAAAATCTCTGACTTATTAAACTGTTAAAATAGAATATTTCTCACAATATATGAGTGTGTGTATATAAAAACTTACGATCGGAGAGAAAAACTTTTCTGTATCAGCAGAAAGAATGAAAAAAAACGAAATTAGTTCATCAAATTAATTAAATTTACATTGGTAATTTTCATGCCCTTTGTAACCATTCGTAAATCGACTACAGTGGATGAAAAAGCGTTACAGACAGCCGGGAGACATCGTATTTTGCTCAGAATTCTTTGCTCTATCAGACTGTATTATTTGCAAAAATTGTTGAATAAAAAAAACTAAAGACTTGGTATTCTAGCGGTCAGGTTTTCCAGAAACCCTATTATCAATATATGCACCTCATCGATAGAGGCATCTCATCTGATAGAAAAATCTTCGGGCTATTTAAAACAGTATTCAAATTTGTTCCAGCCTTTACTGAAAAATCAAAAATAAAGCAGTGCTTGTGCTCATGACACACTGTACTGCAAAAGTTATCGAAAAACGACTTGCCTGATTTTAGGCGAAAACGGTGAAATTTTAATAAAAATCAAATATCTCAAGAACGAAAAACATTTTTAAAACAAGCGATTCATACTTTCTTTCTACGTTTCAAGGCGAATCGAATGGCGTATGAAACTTGGCTTCATGTGTTAACCAAAGAGCTGTGATAGGTTTGCAAGATGAGGGTGTCGAAACCGAAGATATATCGGTCCTGTTTCGCGCCCAGCAAATTTTTTTGGTGTTGAACCTTGAAATACAGTATTCTAGATGCAGTTTTCAATGCTGAATAAGAAAAACAGTTTTACAGCTTCGAAATGAGGTGGAACCAAGTTATTCAGTTTTTAAAAAAAGTTAGTAGTTTTTCGAAAAAAGAGATCCTTCAAGTTTTTTGAAGTTTTTCACTGATAATGCGAACTGGGAAGGCTAAAAGCCAGATATTCTTGATCAGCGTGAAAGTCTCTATCAAATGATGTATGATTAAGCCAAAAATAAAATAGTACTATAATTTTGAATTTGGAACACCCTAGAACACCAAAAACAATATTTTGGATTCTATATTAAACTACAAAGTGAAATTTAAATACGAAAGTACAAGGACACATAACTGGTTGAAACAACAAGTAACTTTGTTTTAATTTGTCATCGTAACTATGGACTACTACAATAGTAATATATGATACTAAATTTTCAAATAACTTTGTCTTATAAATCAAAAGTTATAAGTAGTCCTACTGAGAAGTATAAACAAGCGGTAATTAGATTAAATACCTAAAGTACCGAAGAAATTTTGTATTCCTCGTTTTACTAAAGAGAGTTATACAGAAACTCATATGAAAATCCGAAATATCTAAGAAAACAATAGTGTTTATTTCTTTTCAGTGTTGCTAATATACAAATCAAGTAAAAAGAGAGTAGCGTCTGAAAATTTCAAGTGGGATGATTCGAGTCATTGTGTAATATGAGTTTTTTTGCATTTTGTATGCTGAAAGATGATACCAGAATAATATTTTTAAAAGCCATCATTAGATTTTCTCTGAAATAAAAAACCATACCTGATCACGAGATTTATATCTTGTAAAAATTATTGCTTTAACTGACAAAAAAAGAAAAAGTTGTCACATGTGCAGTCATTGAATACTCATGATCAGCAGCCTTTGTTAAAACGTTCCAATGAGTAAATAATGTTATATGATTTGTTTATTTCATTTCATTTACTTTAAATTTAACGTCAATACTTCTAATGTGATGTTCTCTCTTCTATGTTTGCAAAGAAACCGTTTTTCTTTCGTTCTTTATGGCAATAGTCAAGTGATAAGAGAGAATGTTAAACCAACGGTTACTCATGACATAAATTCAGTCAGTTAATAACTTAGAAATGCTTCTTTTTGGTAAACAAGCTTTCAATCCAATATTTTAATATGCTATAACAGTATCACTTTTTTTTTCATTCATAATGCAAAACATAATATAAAACAGATAGACAAAAAAAATATTTCTTAAAAACTAGAAAATGACATATATCACAGAAAGAAAATATACATCAATGCTGAAAATTGATCTTTTAAAAAAAGGTATATAGTAAACGAAACAAACAAGAAAAACAATATAAGGCAAAGGAAGTTTTTTAGCAAATTTTTCATCAGAAATATATTTCTATTCTAAAAAATGCGTTTGTTAAGGTATGATGTATAGATCTTCAGTCACATGATAGCCATGATCAAGCTAGTTATGCTCATTGCGTTACGAGGCTTATAGAAGAATATTGCCTCGCTGGTCGACTGGTCTGAACTTTAAAAAGAATGATTAAAAGTTTCGAAAACTATTCAGACTATTACATTGTCAACACTAATAATTTAATTGGACAATAAATGTACGATGTTTGTTTACAGATATGATACATGAAGACTTTGACAAGAATGTTACTAATATAATCTATCGATTTTTAATGCATAGCAACATTTCATTTCCAATGATTCAAGGGAAAACTCAAAGCAATACTCTCTATAATGCTGCATAATTCCAGTCCACATCTGCAAAAAGATCATCGTATTTGTTCTATAATAATCACGGCCGTCATACTTTTGACTCAGTATCTTATAAGATATTATCTTTAATGATCGATGATCACATACATTTTTATGAAGTTTTGAACATCTCTTATATCCAAAATTTCAAGTTTCAATAAAGTGTCTAGTTCATGATGTCTATTCAAGAGTTGGTTCTAATAATGTCTCTACACATATAACATCTTATTTTTTAATAGTTAAAATGAAAATTTCATAAGATATAAATTAAATCTCATGATAATATTTGTTTTCGCGTTCAGATTAATAATTATAAAACTTTTACTGGAAGCCCGAAAATATATACAATACCTTGGCTTCATCTTCCCTCTAGTGATTCTTCTATTGACGACATTCACCGTTTAGCAGATTTCACTGTAAGCTTATGAGAAGACTAGTTTTTTAAAATCGGAGCTAAGATATACATTAATGAGGTAAAAGAACCAAATTGTACGTATATATTTTCCCTTATAATCTCTACTCTTAGTTCTTATTGACTTACATATTTGTTGAAAATTTCAAGTTTCTATCACTGATCATTCTTGAGATACACATTTTGAAAGTCGAAAAAACATTCTATGCTATCGGAGTTTTTCATGATCAGTCAAGCGTGTACGTGAAAATATTTTATACTCAAGTGTATCATATAATTTCATTTAGGTCATGGGTACAGAAAAAATATTAGAGATCTCAGTTTTTGTATAATAACACCCGTTCGAAGTAGTCATTACACAGAACTATTTTTTTAATGGAGTATGAAAAATTACGGTGCCGATTGTGAAGTTGGTCGAAACTTAAAACGCTATAAGAGCATTTTTTTCGAGAAGTTTCTTAATAAAATCCGTATATTGTACTGTTAGAACATTGTACGACAGTGTCTATACAATTAAAATTATTTAGTTAAACGCTAACTATGTCTACGTTTTCTAAGATTTTTGAGTCTGTCAAAGAATGATTTAATGAAGCCTTTTATTTTTCTAGAACGTTATATGCACGCTTAACGTTTTATGCCCAACTATTTAATAGAAGTGCCTAGTTGCTGGTATAAATAGCTCTAATCTGATAGGTAGTGATGATTCAAAAGAATTTCCTGCGAAAAGGCGAGAACGATAAAATTTTCATATAGAGCCCGAAAACGAAAAATTTTCCATTAGCGGAGAGCTTCAGTAGCAACTTTCTAAATTCTTCGTCAAAGATACTGAGGATAATCAGATTGTTCAAAATCAGAAAAACTTCAATTATTTGATTTGAAAGAGTAAGAATAAATAATGCTGATTTTTTCCATACTAAAACACATATCTGTTATCAGAAAATTTCTCGTCATGCATTTTCTCGATGGGATGATTATTAATGGCCAAAAAATCATTGTTCAAATTGTGCCGTCTGATACGACGCATTTGTCTGTAAATATCAAGTATAAGTATAGGTTATTTACTAAAGAATCTTTAGTAATAAGATCGACATGACCTGTATTAGATGGTCTTGATCAACATCTATTGATGAAAGAGTCTGACATTGGTTAGTGACAACTCACAATTACAATCTCAACAGAATGGTAAAGAGAAAAAAACAATTTTCAATTAGCAATAACCATCATTATTGATAAAATCTATTCAGTTTCTTTCCTTTTCTCTCTTTAAAATTGTTTACAAACTTTATATGTTTATTATTTCTATCTATTTTCAATGTTCTGCAGAAAATAACCGTAAAGATTGAAAATTTCAAATATATTAGAAAAATGATCAATTTAAAAATTGCTGAATTAATCATTCGTTTTATTCTCACAACCAATCTCATCAACAAAAACAATATTTGCTCGTCTATAATGAATAATCAATGAAGAAGAAAACCGCAGTGACGTACTAAGGTGGTGTAGTGAAAAAAGATGGTAAAATTGCATACTTAAAAATGATCAATCGATTATAGCCATGAAGTCTAGTAAAAGATCATGATTGTTTCTATTCTGCTTGTTTAAAGACACACGTGGAAGTCTGAAATGATTTTACCTTCTATTTTTAGTAGAAATAATATTTTTATTACAGTTCACCATAACAGTAGTAAACTAATAAAAAGCTTTTTGCCGTTTTTCTAGTATCTATAAAAACGGCAAAAACCTTTGTGTCATATGTATGTTTAAAATGACTAGTCTACACGAATTGTCCTAATGGAGATAATAAGAATTAAACATAAAACTAATCTAGAATTTTTTTCTTTTAGAATCGCAAGGATGCGATATTCCTTTAGAGTAACGTAGATTGAAAGAAAATTTCGATTGATCAAAACAAATATCTTCGAATTAGATATGCACAAGTACCAGTATTTATACTATAGTATACTGGACCAGTATTTACTGGGTACCCAAGTAGTTTGGTAAGAATTTATCGCGGCAAGAGCTTGTAACTTTGTAACAGTTATTTATGGGAAATTATTTGAGGATTTGAAAGAAAGTAAGTAGTTTTGTTATTGTATAAAATGCAACTTAGCTATTAGATGCCGTTCTACATTTCGTATAACATAAGAGCATAATTTCTGTAATGCCTAGAAACATATTAATCTACAAATATCTGAGGAATTTTAGGATATAGCGGATATTAATTCGGTCCTGTACAATGCACAGAGAATTGGATGGCTAATTCATAGGATATTAGATTGGTTTTAGCAACGAACTGATATCAGCATCGCGTATCTATGGATACACATTCTTTGAAAGCTCAAGTGTAAATGTTTTCTTCATACAGGGTGTCCCAAAAAAACTTACTCCCTCTGTGTTTATTGGCTTTCTTGTGTACAGATATAATTGAAGTTTTCACCATTTATGATAGTCGAGTAGAGCAGAGATTTCTGGACAAAATGAGACGTCTCCGAGCTCTCTAAGAGCTTTTCTCATGAAACAGCATTCAATTTACGGAAGGTCCCATACCACCAAAATCGAGACAATTAACAGGAAAACAAGAAAAATACGCTCTTAGGGCCTTCCGTAAATTGAATACTGTTTCATAAGAAAAGCTC